CTACATACAACATTGTTTTAAAGTGCTTTGTATCCTCTGTAGATCATCATGAAAATCTAATTGCTTTACCCCTGAGGGACTTAAATAACTCGTGACAGTTTGAAGATGGCCAAAACTAATATATTCATTATTATAGTCAGAGTCCCTATTAAACTCTATTAAACCATCCCACTCTTTAATTTTTCGTGTAAGCCTTTCTTAGTCAGGAAAATATTCTAGAAAACTGGGTAATGATGTCTGCCTTCAGATGATTTGTCGAATAAAACTCATTTCACAATCAGCTGAAATCTTCCTGGACACTATAGTGTTAAATCAAGGACTGATCCCTTTCCTGGATCAACATCTGTTCTTGATTCTCTTAAACCGTATTTTCCGTATATCTATTAGAGAATCTACAGAGAAAATACGGATCTACGTATGCTCCTGGTTTGTGAAGACAGAGACACCATCTGAACTCTAATAGGAAACAATTTCAAACAAATTTTCTCTTTACAATCTCTTGGTTCCACGTGGAGCTATATTTGTCCCCTGCAAAGCCAAAATTACCAGAAATATTTAGAAAAATTTGCTTGTCATAAGAGAGAAAAATGCTTCAAAATGTTATCCATTCATTTAGGGTTGTAAAATAAATAATTAATTATCAAACTCAATGTTTGCCAGCAGACTGACTAAAGACATTTGTCCCTCTTCCTCCTCTATCAGACCTTCTCTCCTCCTGCAGCAGGTTCCTCCATACCTGAGAGCTTCCAGTCTCCAGTGTGGATCCTTCAGTCCAGCCGACAGCAGCTTCACTCCTGAGTCTCCTGGATGATTGTAGCTCAGGTCCAACTCTTTCAGATGGGAGGGGTTGGAGGTCAGAGCTGAGGCCAGAGAAGCGCAGCCTTCCTCTGAGACCAAACAGCCCGATAAGCTGCAGACACACAATTCATCACATGATGAGAAAATCAGAACATTGAGGTAGAAACCAAGGACTGAACTGGTCAAGACAGAAAATATTCAAGAAACTGGTGTCTAAACTGTGAATATGAAATAGTAATAACACATTCTGTACATAAAAACAAACATTTGTCACTTTTAAATGGATGAGAAAGTCTAATGACTGCTCGAAGAAAGGATGTGCAATAAAACTCCTCTGTGCACCTAGGATGCTACATTTTGTCAAGTCAGACATCCTCAGTCTGTGAAAGTGTGACCCTGACATTACTAAATATTTTTTCGTCTTTCAGCCTGCAATAAATAAAAAACAAAATTGCTGTGTTGAGATTTGGCATGGTTAGCAACATCATAGTCAGACATCTACTATTATAACAATTTATTATTAAAATGACATTACCATCAAATATGAATTCAGGTAATGAACAGAAATCTGGTTTCAGCAGGATTGAGAACATTTTACCTGAGAGTTTCCAGGTTGCAGTTTGGACTCTTCAGTCCAGCAGAGAGAAGCTTCACTCCTGAATCCTGCAGGTTGTTGTTACTCAGTCCAGTTCTCTGAGACTGGAGGACTGGGAGCTGAGAACTGAGGACAGAGCTTCACAGCTTCTCTCTGAGAGGTTACAGACACTCAGTCTGAGGAGACAGGGAGGAAAATATGGTATTGAACAGTTGATCAAAATTTGTTTCTCTGTCAAATTAACAATATTCTACTTTGACAGAAAATATTCCAAGCAGAAGATTTTCTTTTTTACGTATTTTTATTGCTCTTTGATGGGATATGGTTCATTTTATAGTTGGTTCTCCAGTCTTGAAAAAAAATTAGTTAAATTCTACCATTAACTAAATCATTTCACTTTAGTTCTATCAAAAGAGTTTTGCTGCTTGAACCACTGAAGGAAATCAGCCTTACTTCTACTTGTATAATGCTATTGAGTGATATCCGTGAGAAAAACTGAAAACTGAACAAACTGAACACAAGAATAATGTGTACCTCATCATTAACAGATCTTTACGAAAAAAGAACAGTAACAATGTGTGTCCTTACAGAGCTTTGTTGGAGGCTTTAACCACTGGCAGCAGCCTCAGAAGAACCTCCTCTGAAGCAGAGTATTTCTTCAGGTCAAACACATCCAGATCTTTTCCTGATGACACTAAGATGAAACCCAGAGCTGACCACTGAGCAGGAGACAGTTTATCTGTGGAGAGACTTCCTGAACTCAGAGACTGTTGGATCTCCTCCACTAGAGAACGATCATTCAGTTCATTCAGACAGTGGAACAGATTGATGCTTTTCTCTGCAGACACATTCTCAGTGATCTTCTCCTTGATGTACTGAACTGTTTCCTGATTGGTCTGTGAGCTACTTCCTTTCTGTGTCAGCAGACCTTTTAGGAGTCTCTGATTGGTCTGCAGTGAAAGTCCCAGGAGGAAGCGGAGGAACAAGTCCAGGTGTCCATTTGGACTCTGTAAGGCCTGGTCAACAGCTCTCTGATGGAGAGCATTTATATTTGGTTTGGAAAAAATTTTGAAGAGAAATGAGGTGGATTTTCTTGCAACAAATTTACATCAGAGTTGATGAAGGTCAGATGAACATGAAGAGCAGCCAGAAACTCCTGAACACTCAGATGGACGAAGCAGAACACCTTGTCCTGGTACAGACCTCTCTCCTCTTTAAAGATCTGTGTGAACACTCCTGAGTACACTGACGCTGCTCTGATATCGATGCCACACTCTGTCAGGTCTGATTCATAGAAGATCAGGTTTCCTTCTGCAGCTGATCAAAAGCCAGTTTTCCCAGAGACTCAATCATCTTCCTGCTCTCTGGACTCCAGTGTGGATCTGTTTCAGCTCCTCCATCATACTTGACCTTCTTCACTTTGGTCTGAACCACCAGGAAGTGGATGTACATCTCAGTCAGGGTTCTGGGCAGCTCTCCTTCCTCTCTGGTCTCCAACACATCCTCCAGAACTGTAGCAGTGATCCAGCAGAAGACTGGGATGTGGCACATGATGTGGAGGCTTCGTGATGTCTTCATGTGGGAGATGATCCTGCTGGCCTGTTTCTCATCTCTGAATCTCTTCCTGAAGTACTCCTCCTTCTGAGGGTCATTGAACCCTCTGACCTCTGTCACCATGCCAAACACTGAGGAGGGATCTGATTGGCTGCTGCAGGTCGTGTGGTTATCCAGAGGAGAGCAGAGGGAAGCAGTTTCCCCCTGATGAGGTTTGTCAGCAGAACATCCACTGAGGTGGACTCTGTAGCATCAGTCAGGATCTCCTTGTTGTGGAAGTCCAGTGGAAGTCGACTCTCATCCAAGCCATCAAAGATGAACAGAACCTGGAAGTGTTCAAAGCTGCAGATTTCTTTGGTTTCACTAAAGAAGTGATGAACAAGTTCCACCAAGCTGAACTTTTTCTTTCAGCACATTCAGCTCTCTGAAGGTGAATGGAAATATGAACTGGATGTTCTGGTGGGCTTTGTCTTCAGCCCAGTCCAGAGTGAACTTCTGTGTTAGGACTGTTTTCCCAATGCCAGCCACTCCCTTTGTCATCACTGTTCTAATTGGTTGATCTCTTCCAGGTGGGACTTTAAAGATGTCTTCTTGTCTGACTGTTGTTTCTGGTCTGTGTGGTTTCCTGGATGCTGTTTCAATCTGTCTGACCTCATGTTCATCATTGACCTCTCCAGTCCCTCCCTCTGTGATGTAGAGCTCTGTGTAGATCTGGTTCAGAAGGATTGGACTTCCTGCTTTAGCAATTCCCTCAAACACAGACTGGAACTTATTCTTCAGACCAGATTTAAGTTGATGTTGACCAACCTCAGTAACTTGTTCTAACAGAAAAAGTAAAATCAGGATGGAAACAGCATCATCTTCTGAAGATGACTTCAATATATCTAATTCCATTTCTGTAGATATCAGTAAAAATGAGTTTTATCATTTGGTCAAATCTTTGTGGAAATCCTCTTACTGCTCTGCAGACGGTCAGCCAGCTCCTCCTGCTTCATCATCCTCAAGAAGTTCAGTGTGATCTTCATCACTGCCTCTTTGCTACCCCTCCTCTGCTCTTCATCCTCACCATCTGAAACCCCATCATCCTCCGTCTGACTCTCTGAGCATTCTTGGTCATCCGGACCCAGAACCTTCTGAATCTTCTTCAGTTCTTTCTTCACAAAAGTAACAATGTTGTCCTCCAGCAGCTGGAACAGAATAATAGATGAAGGAAACATCAGACATATAATATGTAGCCATACACCAGATGGATGTTTGACAGACTGACAGTCCTCTTTTCTACAAAGCACAGCATGGAGATGACTGTGAACAGAAACAATGGAAAAGTTGTTCATGTACAGACCATAAATATGGAGAGGAGCTTTCTTTGATGATGCTGGGGAAATGGATCACTGGGAACCTCTGAGGTATGCTGATCCACTCTGTGGAACAATTAGGAAATCAGGAAATATTCATCCAATAGGTTCATAGATAAAGTAACTAAGATTTTGACATTAAATGACCTTAACGCAGAACAAAGGTTAATCATCTGAACACAGTATGATGAATTTAGAAAGAGAAAGATGATCTACAATGATGAAGCTCAGTAACACCCAGTAAAAATTTACAAAGTTGGTGCTCAACTTGGACTCAAACAGTCCAAAATGTCAGCAGATCTGATGCTGGTGGAGACAGTTTCCCAGAGCTTGGGGACATTGTAAGTGAAGGCTCTGTCCACACAAGTCTTCAGGACAGTGTGGGACATCCATCAGGTTCTGATGATTAGATCTGAGGTGATGTGGACATGGAGGAGGTCTGAAATATGTGGGTGTGTCCATGTGGGATCCTCTCCTGGATGTTATAGTGGGATTTTAAATTGGATCCTGTAGATCCCTGGAATCCAGTGAGCTCACATTGTATCTGTCCACATAGAGACAATCAGAAGGTCCATGAAGTGATATCTGGATTGATTGATTGATTGATTGATTGATTGATTGATTGATTGATTGATTGATTGATAACTGAGTTCTTACTGTTTCACTTTTCACAATTACAGCAGTTAGAAACATCTCACCTCTCTGATGATGGAGGTCCAGGAGACTTAAAGAGAATAGGAGGATCCTTTGACCTGTCGCTCTTAAAGGACACACAGCTGGGTTCTGGTTCTGGTTTGAGTCTCTGATGGATCCTGACAGAAACATGAAGATTAAAACTTAATCAGCAAAGAGGAGCAGCAGAGCTTCATCACCACGTCTGTTCTGGCCTGATATAGTGAACGCTGTGTGAAAAGGGCTGTGGACAGTTAGAGATGGTGACCTCACCTCTGACCTTTGCTCTGGCTCTCATCTTCCCCACACAGAGTGGTTTTAGAGGGAGGACTCTCTCCTCTCTGTCCTCACACTGATCCATGCTGCTGAATCCACATCAGCTCACACACACTCTCTAGCTTCACCTGCAGAGGAAACACACATCATTCATCTGCACATCAACTCTGATCATCCTTTACATCATTAGTGCTGGAAAAAGATCAGCTGCTCCTCCTCTGATTGGCTCTTCTTCTCTGCTTCATATCAGTGTCAGGTGAATGCAGTCAGACAGCAGAGAGGCAGAGGAAGCTGCCATCAGCTGCTGCACTTCTACTATTAGTCCACTAGATGGAGACATGGAGCAACACTTACATTCACTGATTCAACATGAACAGGAAGGATTTTAGTTAGTCAATTATTAATCACTACAAATAAAAAAATTTGTAATCATTTATAGTGATTTGATTATATGCTACATCAAAGATTATATAGATAGATATTTTACTTTGTCTGACCTTGATGGTGGAGAATAGTTTGGTTATAGGTAAGAAAAACATGAAGCACTTTGTAAAGAGCGGAAATCGAAAACATCATCCTTTCATCATGTTGTTCATCAGTAATATAATACTGTTCATCAGTTCATCAGTAATATATACTGATCTTCAAACAGCAGAAAGATGAAACATTGAGCAGAAATAAGCAGTGAACCTGCTCTCCAAATATTAGAGAGCAGAAACATACAGGAAAGTTCCTGAAGACAAAGTTCAAGTAGGAAACAAAGCAAACTTACAGTTTATTCAAACGATCCAAAAGTTGAAGAACATTTGAAAAACAAATAAAGATCCAACAACATGATCGGAGCCACACCTTAACAGTGTAATTAAAACTGAAAGCAAATGTGATAGAGGTTGCTTAACTGATTGTGTCACAACTCTTCTGGTTTGTAGTTTCTTCTTTTGCAGCAGGAGAACCAGGAAGTGGAAGGTCTACAGTAAAATCAGAGGCAGGTTTAAATTATTAATGAAAGAGAGACGTTCTGATAAAAATGAGGATGTACTTACTTTTGATCATAACTAGTGATGATTGTAAAACATTTTTTTGCAATATTTCAGGTTATTTAGCATGTCAGAAAATCTTTTAAAATGGATATAAACTGGATATTTGCATAACTTTTGAAACAAATATCTAACTTCAAAGTAAATATGTATTTGGCAAACTACAATGTTGTTCTCCAAAATAACATTTGATTTTTAAATTAAATATTTTCAAAGCTAAATTTGTGTATTTTAATTTCTAGTTGTTCAGTGAGAGACTTTATTATGTTAACATGTTTTAATTTTTCCCTCCATTCAGTAACAGTTTGTGAAGATGGTTTAATCGAATTCAATTTTCTCCCAGGTCTTTATTTGTGGTCAATCCCAGAAGACATGTGTGATGACAGACCATGCCAAATTCCTCCAATATCTATCTGTGGTTGGAATCCTGGAAATGAACATTTTTAATAGAGTCCTGTTTAAAGGTTTGTCTAACCAAATTAGTTCCACCAGTTTTGTTGATTCATTATTGTGCAAGCTTGAACGTTTCATTGCAGCTTTGTTTTGTTCCTGTTGCATGAGGAACAAAACATGAGTTGTTTTTATTAGTGGCAGAGCTACAGTTATCATCAAAGTTTTCCCAAGCATGGAATCCTGTCATGTCTCTGGTTAAGCTTCTGACCCACATGCAGATATTGGGAACGGGGGCTTCTGGAAGAAATAATAAATTAATGGAGCAGAACGCACCCAAGGACATGCTCTTAGATAAGGTTATCCTAATCTAATATCAGACTATTGACGGGAGACTGAGCTACATGGTTCATGGCCATAAAATGCAATACACAGACACAGCAAACAGATAGACTCCATCATGCCACCACCTTTCGCTCATATCTGAATTGTCTGAATTTTACTATGTGCATACTTCCCTAATATGTATATTCCTCTTTTTACCTTATTACTTTTTAAAAATGTGTTAAGTACTCACTATTAAACCAGAAAAGGAATTAGAACAAACTTAACATCCAGAAAAAACTACTTCCACAACAGGAACTTTAGTTTTTATTATTATGTTTAGAAACTGTGGAGTAATCATTACTTTTACAAATTCAAAATAAAATTATAAACTCCAGAGGATACATACTTATCTAGCAACCCAGAAAAACTAGTTTATAAATTACAGACAGCTCATTCTTAAACATGGGGAACTAATAATACTCTTGTATGTCTTTTCTTTGGTTTATTTTGTTTGCATTTCCATCTAATTCATGGAAAGCACTTTAAATTACTGTTGCTGAAAATGTGCTATATCATTAAATTTATCTTACCTTACCATATGTATAAAAGAAGCTTCAGGCTCCTATGATTTGTTCATCTGACAAACATAATTTAAAGAAATGTTGCTCTTTATCACAAATCAAACTGGTAAAACATCTTTTTTGAAGCACAATCCTTCTGTTTTATTTATAACTTTATATTATTGGCAAACTGATCTAAGACCCTTCAGATAAAGGGGAAATCTGGTGTGGAGGAATAAATGTACCTCAGTCAAGATATGACTAATCACCATTCATATCATAGTTATAACCATAGCCAGATCAGCTAATGAAATTAGCATCTTGTATTCCCCATATGTAATGATCATAATTTTTAGATATATGTAGAAAGTGATATATTTATGTTCAGTTTTATTTGCTGTGACAAAGTATTAGGGCCACACTAAAAAAATATAAAAATAAAATTACAAAATAGGTGTTGCCATGTGTGTGACATAATCTTGGTGAGCCAGATTAAAATAAGAAATAAGAGATAAAATAAGCCTTCTGAGAGAACCTACCTGAAAACTGAACCTAGATGTTAGAATAAAGTCAACATGGATACTGGATAAGATCATTGGGGAAGCCAGAGCTAATCAAAATGTGTCAAAATCTAAAGTGCAGTGAGGCTGGCAGATGAAGGATAATAAGGATGGTGGGAACCACAACTGGTTAACTCCGGGATGGTGAAAAGCCCCAAGTTTTCCAGCAGTTTTTAAATAACTGTCAGGTTAAAATACCCTAAACACCTTCACACAGACATAGACAAAGGAAAAAAGAGGAAAATGAATTAAAATTTGTTACTCAAGGAGAGAAAGAACAGGGAGCGATTGGTTCACACTCCAAACTTGCTCTGAGTTTCCCCTCTTTCTTTTCCTTTTATTGAAATTCAAGAGCCCTGGTTACATAGTTTAGCAGCTACTAATTAAGGGAGGAGCAAACAACAAATCCTGCTGCTAACACATTTATATATCTTTTCTATACAATGTAGTTTCCTATCTTTCTGCATGCGAGGTCTTAAGTGCAGTTCCATATATCTGGGTCACAAACTTCGACCATTTAATCTTTGAGTGAGGCCAGCCACAGCCCTCCAGAATGGATGGCCTCTCCGTCCACTTTGGCATGCTTATCTCCTCCTGTAGACATCACTAAAAGCCACACATTCTAGAAGCAAACAGTCAAACAGTCTATAAGGATAATGAGTATATATGAAATAAAAGATATTTAGAAATCTAACAATAACACTAGACTGTTGTCCAGCAAATGAAAAGACATGAAATTGTGGAATTTGGGTCTCAAAGACAGAAATTCCTGCCTTAGAAAAACTCAAGCAAGAAAGAAGCAACTTCACCGGATGCAAGCAGAAGAACAATGTCTCCTTGAAGAGAAAATTGGTGCTTTGGGTGTAAAGGTGAACAGAATGATAGTCATCTTTGATAGGAAACCAAATCCACCTGGAACCCTCAGAATACCTTAAGTCACATTAAGAAAGACTTTAAAATATTGAACCAGACGGGAGAAACAGGACAGACAGACAAGCTTTCTGTCACCACTCAGTAACCAGATGGAGTCAGACAGAAAGAACAGATATTCTGAGGAAGAAATGACTGAAGCCGTCATTAACGCCGTCAGCCCTGACCTTCATCTCAGAGATCTGCTGGAAGTGAAGTTGGACCTCACACTCCCCACTCTTACAGTTATATTCAACTATAAAGTTGACTCATCATCTGACCTACTGCATGAACAGGAGGTCAGATGAACATCTCCCAAGACCCAAGAGAGTCTGCTCAAGCCTTCCTGTTGAGAGAACTAGAGTTGAGAGAAACACTGCTCTACATGTCTGGGGAAAAACATGAGGCAGAGCAGTTCAGGCCAAATCTGATCCAACTTAAGTTCCTGCAGTCACTGGAAACAAGTTTGTTGAGTGAAGCCCTGATGTTCCAGTTAAACCCAAAACTGAGCCGCTAAAAATATCATAGATGAGGTTTTAACTGAAAAGATACATTACGCTACCAGTCTTGAAATTTAGCAACAAAACATACTGCTCAATCAAACCATTGAGATTAAATGGAAAACAAGCAGAAGTTCAGAATATTCACTTTCACTCACAACACAGAGACAATGAGAGGGGAGACAGATTAAAAGAGGTGAAAATGTATCAAGAGGAAACAAGTGCAAAGTCAATGGCCAGATTCAGAGACTGAAGTTGATTGAAGGCCTTAAAGCAGATCTGATGGAGATAAAGAAATTACATGGAACAGCAACATCAAAGCTCACACCTGTCAGAACGAAAGGACGCCAAGAACGCAGAGAAGCTGGGGGGGTGGTATCTATCTGCACTGGTACCTCTGGACAAGAAGCCATATTTCTCATGGCTGCAAGCAGAGAAATTTACAGGGAAACAGGAAGGCGCTTATGAGGAGGGACCAGCAGTAATCCGGTTACCCCCAGGTCCCACTGTGACATTTTATTTATGTAGACCAACACTTAATGCTCTTGTGAGCCACCAGGTAATCCCCAAAACACAATGAA